GCTGCAACCCATCACTGGGAAACATCGATACACACATTCACATAAAGAACAATCTAGCCAACCCAATTCACCTGTACTGCATGTCTTTGGACTGTGGGGAAAACCGGAGCACCCGGAGGAAACCCACGCGAACATGGGGAGAACATGCAAACTCCACACAGAAACGCCAACTGACCCAGCCAGGGCTCGAACCAGCAACCTTCTTGCTGTGAGGCGACATCGCTACCCACCGAGCCACTGCGTCACTCAAGTTTTGATCAATTTCTTATTTAATGATTGACTTTTCTGTAGTTACATACAAAGTCTGACAGAAAATAAAAAGTTATTTTTCAGGCTAATATGGCTAGGAAATGGGTTTTGGGATATTTGCTGCCATTCCCTCACTGCAGCAGGCGCAATGATATTACGCAGCACCTGAAAATAGTCCCCAGTGGTAACTTCCAATATACCACCTGCTTGCTTAAGGAGTGTTTGCCGGTTGTGCTGCGTAATATCACTGCGCCTGATGTTATCTACTGTACCCCAGGGGAGTTGCAAACTAAGTCCATATTACAAAATATAAATAAAAATAAAAAGTGGAGAGTTCCTTTAACACAACAGGAGCTCAAATGAGATCCATAATGCTCCTATTTGGAAATAGATGGTTTCCAGCCTGTTATACTGACAGTGAAAAGGCAGCTTATGTCTTTAGTAGGCTTGGACTGTAGTTCATAGTCATTTAGATCAATTTATTACACTTTTATCATATTTGATTTCACTTGCACTATATAAAAATACAGATTATAGTCAGTTAATTAATTTCATACTCCACTGGAAAACAAAAAAATCACACACCATTATATTTGCTGAACTTGATGTCGATAGATTTTTGGATCAACGCTCTCTCTCAGCCATCAACCCACACAAGCAGACACCAAAGATCATCATAATCAACCCAAAATTAGAAGACAGTTCATAACACCAACACCATCATCACGAAACAGAGCGATACATTTAAATGAGAAGAACTGGAGTGATTAAGTGTTTAATTGACTAAAGGAAGCAGTGCGGCAAGTCCTCTCAGCGTGACCTCTCCGTCTCCCAGAGTCCACCGGGGCCCCGACTACAGCTACTCCACGCATTAACGTCATTCATCATCCAGCACTGAATATTCATGGGCAGAGCCCGGGGGTCAAGCAAAGCCGCATCATTTCCTGCTGGGGGTTAATGGGCATCAGAGCAGGGGCGGGGTCGTAATCTGATTCCATCGCCATGGCAACTTCACCCTAATCAACCTCTGTAGGAGGTGAAGAACGGTCTAATGAAGATGCTGTGACTCCCTCGCACTGGCTTTGTATTAAAGTTGATTAGCATGCACCGCTAACGGTGAGACCCCGTCTCTGCAGAATGTTTGCAAAGGATGATAAAGATTATTACAACAGAGACGAAAGCCGCTTGACTGCATAATAGGCAATAATGGGCCCGGTCAGTGTGAAAAATGGGTTTGCAAGAATGCTTGTTTCTTTCTTTTTTTTCAGTCTAAATAGAAGGAAAACACTTTCAGGAAGAAAAAGAAAAATGCGTTTAGAATGCAATATCGTGCTGGAATCAATAGCGGCGAGTTAAAGAGGAAAAAGTTTTCCTCATTTCCTATTCAGCCCAAAATTTGCGCCAGAAAGTTTGCCAATAAGTGCTTTTACTGGAGTCACGATGGCTGTGTTTGAAAACTAAGTGAGCAGCTTGCCTAGGCAGCAAGTTTATTTTATTTTTATTTTTTTTCAGTTTTCACAAAGCAGATATTTAATTTATTTTTTCACAATCTTAAAACAGCCTTGAATACATAAACAATCAAAAACACTTAAAACCATAAACGTTTCAAAGTGCTTCATCATCAATTCATAAGACATTAAACACGTATTCAAGCATATAAAGTTGACCATAGCGTTGATAAACACTTAAAAAGCTACAAAACTCTTTTTTTTTTTTTTATCCTTTTTAATACAATACGTGACCTAAGATTACCATAAAACATTACAGAAAACAATTTAGTCCACAAAGTGCAGGCAGCTTTCCAGTGGAGGCATGTAGTTGTTGACTGATATCCAGTGAAACGCAACACTCCTGTCTGGCCATATTCTGCTTTTTTTCCCTTTTTTTAGGCAGCAAGTTTAGACATCAATGCTCTTGATATGAAGCAAACAAAATGAAACGAATGTAAGAGGAAGCTAAAATTACTCATTTAACCATCACTTACACTGTTGCTTACACTTAGCATTAGTGCTGTCCCAATTCTTATAGGGGAACATTTTTAAGCCCTTCCTCTTAACCCTCTGTTGTAAGGGCCAGGGGGAAGGGGATGAGGTAGGGGTACAAAAATAGAATTGGGATTGGGCCTAAATCTATTCATTCATTCATTTTCTTGTCGGCTTAGTCCCTTTATTAATCCGGGGTCGCCACAGCGGAGTGAACCGCCAACTTAACCAGCAAGTCTTTACGCAGCGGATGCCCTTCCAGCCGCAACCCATCTCTGGGAAAGGCCTAAATTTAATTTATACATATTAAAGCTCTTTGACATTATTAACAGACTCTACTGTGAAAGTTCTGACTTTTATTTTCAAACTGTCTGCTACTCTTGTTATGCTTTTTCAAGATCTGAGGTGAACTGCTAGAGATCTGCTAGAATGGCAATAAATGTCATGTAAAATGGTGGCCTTTAGCACTGAATAAAGCCCATAATCTGTACCTGAGGTAATCGTCGTCTCTCAAATTAGTTTAAAAATAAACTTCACTTGGTTTTATTCAATTCATCTGTAGCACATGTTTTTAAACAGTGAGGAAAACCGGAGCACCTTCCCAAAATAACAACTCAAATTCTAATAAACAGGACAGATTTTGAGATCTCAAAATATGTGAAAATTCTAATGAAACACTGTGACTTAAATCAAAATGAGCTGCTCTGAATACCATATGAATATTTTATCAGAAATTATTCAACTCCTGCTGACTAAGAATTGGCAATTTGATCCATTTATACAACTACACTTATTATTATGCTCATCATTTGAATTAATAAAAGTGTATGAGATTTTACCATGAAAAGAAAATATGTTAAATATAATAGACAATATAATAATTTCAATAATATTAATAATCAATATTAATCGCAGTAAAGTGCAGATGCTTTTATTCAGTTTGCTAAAGTGACTTGAGTCTGTGGTTTTCTCTATTGTTTCACAGCTTGTTACAAAAAAAGGAAAAAAAAAAACAACATAAATGCTGTCAAACTAGTTCTAAACCGTAGCTAAAGCTCCTAAAACGGTGATGATCTAACCAGCAAATACACCAATCCGCTTAAGGCAGCTAGGGCAGGCAAAACAAGTCCCAGCTCTATTCTGTCTAACACACTGAAGGAACTTGATTTGCTAGTTTGCACTGCTCTTAAAAAAACAGAGGTACGCTTGAGTGTGCAGACAGCTCAGACAGATATTAAAGACTTGCAGATATTAAAGTAGCTTTAGTTAATTACACCTTTGAAATGTACAAGATCTCGTTGGCCTCAAGTCATGGCAGAGAGGATGCAGTGTCTCCATGTTGCTGTGATTGACTGATTGCAATCAATACGGTAATGCCCACAAGTCAAGTTAATTACAGATCACACAACTCTCTTAGATTACCTCATTTTTGACCACATTCAAATTCACTTGAAATGACAAATTTTTGATCTCTGAACGATGCGATGTACATCTCTACGTTTTAAAGGGGTCATAGCTTGCATTGACTTAATGTTAAATTGTTCTCTGACATGTACATGGACGATATTTGACTTGGGTAAGTGCACAAATAATCAAGAAATGATTTTATATGCTCCTTTAGAACAACGGGTATTCAAAATGAAACCGAAAGTGCGCACTTCATTTAAATGATCGTATCGCATTTTAGAGTTATGATTACGTTAAGCATTTGAAATGTTTTTTTCTTTTATAGCAAACCCACAGTTGTGCATGAAAATAAATGTTTATAATGTCAGTATAACTACTCTAGCCTATATAATGTTGAATATACTCTGATAATGGCAAATGTCTGTTTATACCAGTGATATAAATTGTCTAATATGACAGATTGCAAGCATATATCTCAAACATAATAATTCATCAGAATTATTATAAGAATAGATTAACAGAGAATAGAATTATTTATAGAAACCAGTAGACCTACACATAATATTAACGAGGTTGTGCCATATGTTTGTTTTTACCATACCTTTATTTTTCATCTACAGAATCGTGAGAAAATCATGATCTTTATTTCAAGCAAAAAAAAAAAAAAAAACCAATCGTGATTCTCATTTTTGCCAGAATCGTGCAGCTCTAGTATAAGTGTATGACTGTTTGTCAGATTTTATCATCTAATATGAGCTCATGCACATAATAATACATAAGAACCTGAAACTAAACAGTACGCAATACAGAAAACAGCAGATTTCATTTGTCCGCTGATACCCACACAACTACACCAGATTCAGGAGTGGTAAAAGAAAATTGTGCTTTTTATAGTTTTTCACCAAATCATTTTCAATATTGTCAAATGTGGACGTCATATAAACACCAATACTTAGCATTGTTCACTTGTAATCGGGTTGACAAACATATATTTAAATACCTGAAGTAAACAGGGCCTGCATGTCTGTGAACATGATGACACCTGTGCTGTTTACTAGTCCATAACGGAAACAGCTAACACCCAAACAACCATTAGAAATTAATGAAGATTTTACCTTTTCACAAACAGGAAAAGGAAATGAAAATGAGATTTACAGTGAACTATACTGCAACAAACAAAATCTCAGATAGGAAACTCAACTCAAACGTCAGCCACGGGCCTCTGCTATATCTGCAATTAAAACTATTTGTACTTTCTGACAAGCTTAACTGTATTTAAATGCTTTAGTAGCGCTTTTATTACATGCTTTAGTAATAGAAGATAAAACTCTCGGTCCAGCTTTAGCACCATGCTATGCTTACCTTTTCTTTGTCCTCCACCAGGTCTGATAACATGTCATCTGGGTCCAGGATCCCCCCGTCCACATACTCCACATGAAGCGTCCGCACCAGGAATTCCCCATCCTGTTGAAAACAATAGGTCCATTAGTGAAGTCCCCTGTTTAACAACAATACATGAGTCAAATCGGAGAAGTGTGGACATTTTATACATGCTGTTTTGTTTGTACGATTGGTAAAAATCAAATGCGTGGAATCAAAAGGATGAACAAAAACACACACCGCACAGCAGATGGTTATCTCAGATTATATGTACAGTACTGTGCAAAAGTTTTAGGCCAACATTAAATCTGTTGTATTACTGATGGTGTTATGGATATATGTGACCCTTTATCACAAAACCAGTCATTTGGGTTTTTTTTTTTATTTATTTAGTTTTATCCAGGGTAAATTACCTTTCAGTTGATGTATGGTTTGTTAGGATAGATTAGAGTTTGAATTATTTTGGCTTAATTGTTTAAGACATGTGAAAGACAATCTTGGAGTAAAGCTGTTTGTCCTGGTTTGAGCAGCATTTCTATCAGCGTTGTTAGCAATATCTCTGAATATATTGAATTCTGAATGTTGAAAAGTCCAGATAGATTTTAATCCATTATGCCCATCCTTCTGAAAAGGACTTAAGTGATAATAGTTTTTAATTTGAGCATGATAATGATTTGCTTACTGTGGTGAAATCCTATTTGGAGAAGGAAAACAGCTGGCGAAACACAGTCATGAAATGGCCTCCACAGGGTCCAAACCCAACTATAATACCTAACTATAAAACCTAAAGAAGAAGAAATGTAGAAAGTGCTAAAAGACGACTGATGTTAAACAGAACATTATTTCAGAAGATGTTAGGACAATTAGAACAAAAGTGTGTTTGGTGCAAAGGGAAGCCCCATTAAACAGACCTTTGCTTGGAGAGGAAATGTGCTGTTGTTGTTTTTGTACACATTTCCAACATTTTCTGTTTGTTTTTAATAAAGAAACTGATCGATATATTGTGAAAAAGTTTTAGGCCATCAAAGCTGGTTAATACTTTTGCACAGTACTGTATAAGCATTCAATTCTGATTAGATACAGGGCTTCTGCAGGTTTCATCAGGTCAAATTTAATACTTTTTTAGACCACTATGAATGAGATTTTAGATTTATACAGGCTTGAACCCTTAAGAATTTTTTTTGTAATGGCCAGGTTGGACCAATGGAAATAGGAAAAAATGTAGTTATTTCTTAACCACATTTGAAAGATTCAAAACAAGAAAACTGTAGTTGTAGAGACTTTTTTTAACAATGTTTTTATGACAAATTTAACATTGCTAAAAGTCTATTTATTATATTGAAAACTATATCTAAATAATCAAATATATATTTGTTTGCTTTTGGTTCAAATGAATTGAATAGTATGACTAGTATTCAACCTAATGTTTCTGTTATAAAACATTAAATTGTATGCTTATTTTTAAATATTATGTCCACTCACACTTCCTTCAGTAAATAGTTTTTGTTTAAATGGAAGATTATTTAAAGGGATGTATTGCTGTTATTATTATTATTATTATTATTATTATTATTATTATTATTATTATTATTATTATGAGGAATTTTGTAGATTTTTTGTTTTCCTTTCCTGATTAGGGAATTTAATTTTAAAAAATGCTGTAAAATGTCTTACAGCTGTTGTAAAATAGGTTATGTAAAATTTTATGTCTTGATTTATTTAAATGAAAATAAGAGTATAAGAGTATTTAGTACGTAAAACTAAATTAAAAAAAAAGCATTTGTTTGACCTCATTTGACTTGCTAAAGGATAACTGAAATTACCCACATATGTGTTTGCCAGAAAGCCTATCATGATTAGGAAACAACAGCAGCTTTAATGTATGCCTGATGTTTTCATGTGGATGAATGTATGGAAACTAAGGAAGCGATGACAATAAAAGGTGTGAGTTTCCTGTTGCTCAACGGTTTGATTCTATTGGACAGGCGATACGGACTAACATACAGACTAGAGCAAAAAATAAACCTCAAATAAATAAGGTACAGACTACACGTGACTGCTATTTTATGAATATTTTGACTGCTATTGTTTTTTGTTGTCGTTTAAATCCATTGCCTTGAGTGTCTTGCTCTCTTTATAAGGTCTGGTATATCTAAGCTAATATTGTTTAATAGTTAGTAATAGATTGAACTATTCAGGCTAGTCGTGACAACTTAAAGAAAAGTGTTCATTAAAAGACTAAAGGAAAATTAAACAATAAAAAAGGCTACAAAAATAAATTACAAAACATATAGGTAAAAAAAAACTTAAAGACAGGAGAATATATACACTGCAAAACGAAACAGTCAACGGACTTTACTACTGAAAGTTAATTTTACTCATTTGATAAGAGTTTTAAACTTAGAGTTGAAGGTAATGGGTTAATTAAATACCTCATTATATCAACTTAAATGGAGTAAGCACACAGTCCTCATTTACATTCGTTTTTTACTCAAATGATTTGTAGCAATCGGTTTCCTTAAATGGTTTGAGTTGCCTTAACTTATTTGGTTTTACAGTACTCAGTTGGTTTGTTTACTCAAATGGATTAAGTTCACAGTACTCATTAGGATTAGTTTTTGAACTTAAATGGTTTGTTGCAATCGATTTCCTTAAATGCGTTGAGGCACTTTAACTTTTTGGCTTTACAGTGTATGTATATTAAGGATGCTCCAATTGATTTGCTGGAGATCAGTATCAGCTGTTAATCACATTTTATAATCGGTAGTCATTGATCTGGTCAAATTCATGAACCACTTTTGTTAGTTGGAGATGAGCATAACATTTAACTGACCTTGGATGCGTTCAGGCCTTTTTACATATAACAACTGAAAGTTCTGTGCTTTTTGACAATATTGCAAGTTCACTAAAACTTGCCTGGAAATATTAGATAAATAAAACTTTTTCAACATGAATATTTAATAATATAACTTCTTGTAACATACTTATTGCAATAAACATTAGTTTATAGGCCAATTACCTTTTAGTAATGAGTTTATAGGTGTGCATTTTAACTTCTTAAGCATTAAATTTGCGCTCCAAACATTTTGTTGAGACATGCTGAATTCTTCTTTCATCACTTGCAATGTTTCCAAATTGCATTGTTTGTAATTGTTCTTACCGTATTTTATCTGTGCTATTAGTTTTTGTAAAGCTACAGTATTTTTGGACATGACATGTTCACACCTAAATGGTTATAAAACATGCGTTTAGGGATTTAGCATCCTTAATTTATTCTCTTATCTAAAGAGAAATCTCCACTTAGAGGGAAAATGTGTTTTATGCATTATAAAGCATCTTAATTGTTACTCTATATCGGCTGCAAAAATCCTAATCGGAGCATCTCCAAAACATTTGAAAGAATCTAGAACATAAACAGAAATATTTAAATCAGCAACAATTTATTTTATTTATTTATTTTTTATTTTTAAACAGGAAAAAAATCTAAGATAATCGGGTAATTTTCAGCATGTTCCTGCTCTACAGAACATAAAAACATACAGACACCCATTAACATCTCATTCATCAACACGCGAGAACATTACAATCGCCAAACATCCAAAGTAAAGAGAGACAGGCTACTATCTCTGGCTACAGTGATAGTTGACCATTAGATGACGAGAATGGGATTTTCCAAAATGTCTCAGTGTTGGTATTGTTTTTAGACGTGGTGGGATCTCATTCCAGGCTTTTGTAAATTCACACAAAAAAATCTCTGTCCATAATGGTTTTTAAGAGCCGGTAATGGCAGACATTCATTTGTTGCAGATCTGGTGGAACGATCAGTCCTTGTATTAAGTTTTGGTACCAAAACACAAAGGGCTGCTGAGGTAGCACTATTTAAAATGTGATAGTGCAGTTTAATCCCTATGTTATAGTGTAGATTTGAAATGATAAAGCAATGCAGCAAATTGTTTAAATGTGACAACAAAGATGTACTAAGTCATCTAAGTACTAATACAAAGATTTCCAGTCTTCCAAACAAAAAATAAATAAATAAAGAATTAGAAAATAATGAAGCTGTTTTACAGCACTGATAAAATATTTTTACTTCAGTAATAAATCAACCTATTAGAATAAAATGTATTTATTAAGAATATGTTATTTTAAATTGCAATAACGTTTCAAACATGCAAAAAAAAAAAAAAATCAATATCCTTCACTGACTCTGAGGTGTCAGGTGATATGGGTAACAGGTTGAAAGAAAGCTTGAGAATTTACACTGGGAACACATACCATCATGTGTACACATGCAATCAGATAAGCCAATCAGGTGGGTTAGTCTGTCATAGTTTGAATACCACGAGTTCATTACTGAACAAACTTGCAGAACGGCCTTCCTACTCGAGTTGGGGGGGGGTTACAATGCAATGGTCTGAGAGAACGTGTTTGGCTGGTAGTAACACATGGCCAAACACATCCACGTCAATGCTTTTTTTTCTTTTCTTTTTTTTAAAGAGGAATCCTCGACGAAACTGATGACGCACATGACAATAACCATCATGTCACAGTTATACTGAATGTTACACAGAGGTCATTAAAACTGATTCAGTTCTATATAAAAAATAAAGTTATTTTCAATGAATGAATCAAAACCCTGATAAACATTTGTTTATGTTGAATAATTTTTTTTTCAATCAAAAAAAAACTACATTTAACCATATAATTTTTTTAATTTCCAAAAATGAAATGAAATATAATATAATATAATACAATCTAATATCAAATAAAATTCAATAAAATAATAAAATAGGAAAATGTCATTTTATTTTAACAATATAATTCAAGTAAAATTAAATTAAATTAAACTGAAATAAAAAAAAATTAATTAAATATAAAATAAATCGAAAATTAAATGAAATAATCTGGATTTTTTAATTAAACCAATTAGATAAAATATATTTTAAATTAAATTTAAAAAATGAAATTATAAGAACTAAATTAAATACAAATTTAAATTCAATTCAATTAAAATAAATTTAAATTGAATTTAAAGCTAAAATTAAACTAAACAATCAGTTTTTGTTTTATTAAACCAAAAATTA